ACTTTGATGCAAGACGCTAACTAGACTCCATCAGGTACTGTATCTGTGTTGGGAAAAAACCTTCTTTGAGCACTGGTGGTTTGAAGCAGAAAAAGAAAAGAAGAAAAACTTGAAATGGGCCATTAGAGAAAAAGGGCTTAACCCATTCCCTCCATCTGCCTTTCCCTGGCAAAATGCCCCTCAAGCCACTTTAGGGAAATTCCAAATGTATTCCAAATTCATAACAGGTAAGAGAACCTAGTTAAAATGGTGTTTCAACTCCATTGCTTCAAAGTAGCTCTCCCGAATTGGCTTTTCTGTAGAAGAAGCACCTGGTACTTTGTTACATTTACAGTACTTGTATCTAAAGCGTAGTTATGCCCAACAAGAAGTCACTCCTAATTAACCACAGGAAGGATATTGTTCTGCTACATATTACTCTTTCAAACCTAAGAGTAATTATGTAGCAACTTTAACTTTCCCCATTCACAACAGGCAGAAGAAGGAAACAATAATGAACTGAAAAGAAGAGGAGATAGATTGATAAAGCAAAATGGGAAATGCAAGGAGGGGTGTTGTAAGTAATACCTCTATTTGACTACTAATAAAAAAAATCAGAAACAGTCCACACTTTCAGCCCATACAGGCCTTCATCAGGCTGGGCACCAGTTAGGTGAGGATGATGCAGGAACAAAAAATAAACCATGCTTAGCTGTCTACGCCAGTTTCAAAGTGAGAGCTGCAAAGTCAAGGCAGGAGTGCTGGTTTTAAATTCCACCTCTGGCAACGCTGAATGAATTATCTCAAACTCACCAGGCAGATGGTGCCAGCCACTCGCCATTTCCCACCCCCCAAGGCTTTACAGGGAAGCAAATGTGGTTTTTTGCAGTCTAACAGAGGGATCACCTACCCCTGCATTTAGATTGTGTACAAGGGGCACATGGCTGGGCTTTTCTCCCTTTTGTTGGATGGTAGATAAAGATGCCCTGGCATCTAACAAGGAAACTTCAGCTGTTCCACTGCTTCAGGTATACAGTGCTGAAGCACTTGCATGCTTACTTTGCAATTCTAAAAGCATTTTGTCTCATGCTATAAGAAATCTACTTCAGATTGAAAATAAAAATATATGTTACTATTAGACCATAGGTATATTGATTTTTTTTAAAAAAAAGGATGTGGATTCACCTTAGTAATTGGAAGTTTAAGCATTGCTTCAGTGTCTTAAGCGGAAATTCACAAATTAAAACTACACAGTCTGAACTGTGATGCTTCAACATGTGAGGAGAGTTTTCCCACCCTATTTCATTCTTCTGAATTTTCAGTGGAGACACATTTATTTTTCATCTTTCTCTCTTTGCAAGGAACCCAAGGCAGTTTACAATTCAAAACAGACATATGAAACATAGTAAGTCAATCATTAAGTGATTAAACAAAGAACAATTATGACCTATCAAAGCAACAAGTACAAAAATTAAAATAACTACCATGCATTATCACTGTCTGAATTGAGATGCCAAATACCTATTTAAAAAGGAAAGTTTTAGCCTGCTGATAACAAAGAAGGGATCAAACGAGGCTCTAAATGAAGGGTATGCCATATTCTGGAAGCAACTATGAAAAAGCACCCTCATGTCATGATCAGATAAACCCATGAAGGTGGTGGTGGGATCAGGTGAAGGGCCTTCTACCTTAATACTTATGGAGACACATAAAGGGAAACATAGTCCTCCACATAGCCTGAGATTACATCCTACTTTAAGTAGTTTAATAGAAATGTCAACTGAAAAATAAAGAAGCCACTTACTCTAACAGTACGACTTTCTTTCATTTTCCCACTCTACTCCTTCTACTCTGCCGTTTGGTATGGATACTAGGGAAATATACCTCAAGTCTTCTACCAGTGATCAACTAGCAAGGCATTTTTAACCGTACAGCAAGTTTTATTTCACTGGTTAACAAACAGATGGAAATAATGCTTTGGCTTACAGCAATGAGCTTAAGCACTTTTAACTCTCTGCTGATTTGGAATCATTATTTACTGCAAAATAACGTGTGCAGATCCTGAAGCTGAGGGTCCAGTACTTCTAACGTGTGCAGATCCTGGAAGGACAGATCCTGAAGCTGAGGATCCAATACTTTGGCCATCTCATGAGAAGAGAAGACTCCTTGGAAAAGACCCTGATGTTGGGAAAGTGTGAAGGCAAGAGGAGAAGGGGACGACAGAGGACGAGATGGTTGGACAGGGTCACCGAAGCTACCAACATGAATCTGACCCAACTCCAGGAGGCAGTGGAAGACAGGAGGGCCTGGCGTGCTCTGGTCCGTGGGGTCATAAAGAGTCTGACACGACTTAATGACTAAACAACAACAACAAAACGTGTGCATGCATTTTACAAGCAAAAGGAACTTCTGAACAAGAAATTAACCATCAGAAAACTGAACTCTTTGAGCTTCAGCTATGAATGACAACAGATTTTTTGGGGGGGACAACTTTCATATTTCAAAGGTCCTCAGGGGTGGAATAACCAAATGCACATACAAAGGCACAAGAAATGCAAAATGATAGTTTAAATGTTGCAACTGCTCTTTCAGTTTCAACTATAGAACTACCACAAAAGTTTCAACAGCTGTGGAAAAGATGCCCTGAGTTTAAACATACTTGAGCTATTCAAACATTTGTCAAAAGCGAAGTAATGCTTCTATACTGAGACATTTTACGCCACCCTTTCCTCAGATGTGACTATGAGAATATGAACACACGTGATCCCTTAGTTTTTTCCAACCTTGGATCCTCAGACATTTGAGCTACAGCTACTGTCATTCACAGTCAGAAAGCCAATAGGAAGATGGGAGATGCAATCAAATATCATTGGGGGCCCAAGGTCAGGAGAAGTTTTTAAAGCCTTCAGAGTGAGTTAAGGTTCACAGAGAAGTCCCAACTCAGCATTTCAGTCGGCTTTATCAGAAATGCAGGGCATGTTTTTTTACATCTCTATACAAAACAATTCAGAAAAAAACTAAATGTTAAGAATATGATATCTATGACAGATAAAAAGCATATGAGTAAGTAGGCAGTCTGCAGTAAAGCCAAAATTAGAATTGCAAACTTTACAATGAAATGCAGTGAAGCATCTCCTATTTTTCCTCTGCAGTATAAGCTCTGAAAATATTAATGCCTGTAAGAAAATGTAAGGTCATATATGGATTAGGCCTCTGAAGACATGTGACTAGGTTCTCAAAGAAAGACCTCTGACAGTGTTAAGATTACATTACATTATAACACTGCAGTTATAAGGATTTAATAAAATTATTCTAGTGTGCTTACAAGTAACAGAACATTGACATACCCTTTTGATTCATGCATGCTGAACCAACAGATTTTTTTAAAAGCTAGTTATCAGAGTATCCATGCAGAAATAACTGGAAATTATCCTCTCCGGCCAGGACTCAGTGACAAACTTCTGCTAGGTTCCACTGCTTCTGGCAGAACCAGTGACTCCCCCTATTTAATATCATCCATGATGAGTGACTATATTTTATTTGTGAGAGAGACATATTTTATATCTCACCTGAAAGGAGAGTGAGTGCTTTTGTGAAAATAAATGAATGAAATCTGAACCCTCTCAAAAACATAACATTGAACTTGCACAAGAAACAAGAGCTGTTCGAACCTACATTCATTCGAGGGCAACTACCACCAAACTCACCAGGAATTATAACTAAGAAAAACAGACATCGAATTCCAACACATGTCTTTCAAAGAAGCATGTACATTAGAAATTTATGCCAACTTAACTATCCTCCCTTGCAAACAGAATCCTTGGTCCAAGGAAGGGATCATGTCAAAACTTGTAATATACCGAGATCGACAACACTTCACAGAATTAGAACTCTGCAGGGAAAGGAGAACTAAAAACTATCCAATCCACCGATTCAAATTAAATTTGTATTGCAGACATAACCTTACATCAATTCATCATATTTTAAATGTGGCATAAGGATGCCACAGATGAACAGAATGCATAAACACTAACACACCTCTCATGCAAATTACACAGAATTGTCAAAGAGATCGGTGACTGTGGAAGTATTAAGTTTTTCTTCCCTGGCCCTAAGAAAATGAAACGAAAGAATTGTCCAACTATCTATCTATATATAACAAACACACACTAGGCAACAAATCCCAAGCTTTCATGAAACCTTAAGTAGTCCTATTCAAAATGAATAGCTAAGCATTCTTTAGAAGAATTAGTTGCTGCAGGTATTTTTTTTTAATATGCTACAAAAAGAGAAGTGCCATGTCAGTCTCAAAGCTGCTAATCAGCTCAAAGGGTAAATATGACTTACAGTGGGGAGGAGTAGATTTCAGGACCACATGACATACCCTGTTTTTTTCACAAGAACCTGAATATCCAGCAAGTGGAGCTAGGTGTAAAACAGCAGCTCAGACGGACAGGCTAACGTAAGAAACAAGTCTTCTTAAAATATTCTCAGGGCAGAGATGTGTAGTGCATATCAGAACTCAGCTACCAGAGTACTGGTTCACACACACCTCACTGCTGGCATTTCCCCAAACTTTCTTCTTCAACGACTTCATTTGAGGTGGGGGGAAAGTGGTGCTCTCAAAGTTGTTGCTACTGTTAACAGTATGAGAAGACAGAAATCCTTGCTGATCTACTGCAAATAACCCAGAAATCTACGATTTGACCCCAATCAATCTTCCGCTTATACCTGATTTCTAGCTACTAAAAGAATGTTACGTAGCTTGATTACTATATAAATGCATGACAATCTAGCAGAAGCAGCCAAGAAAAATAAAATAAGTTTAAAGACAGTGTCTGAACTACGATCCAGCTCCTCAGTCTGAGTTGCTTTTGCTCAACACTCCTGTCATAGTGATACTACCTAGTGAAAAATGAAGGTTGCATCATGTAAGAGACAGCAATGTGCAAATATAAAACTACATAACACATGGAAACTACACATACATTTGTTTTATACGTTTGCAAAAGACTACAAACCTTTACTTGCAGAGTTGCACTTCAAACCATCTGATCTGCTGAAGTCTATGCTTACGTACACCCCACTTTCCAGATTCAGAGTACCATTTGGGAGGTGGCAGTTTGGTGTACTAGGGCTCTCCTCACAGTTTAGAGAATTATCCCGTAAATTTAGGGCTATATAGTTTAAGCCATTCTGAAATCCAGTTGAAGTATCTCTGGACATCTTGCTTTCGTGACCATCTGAAATGTGTTCTTCAGGTTTCAACCACACATTGTCAAAAGAGGCAGAGCTGTGCCTTTTACTACTGTCAGTAAAGAAAGAGGAGGAAGTAGTAACAGTGGCAGCAGAAGAAAAGGTTTCGGAGCTATGCCGCCTCCTTCCTTGCGGATCGGCGCGAATAACTTTGGGTACTACTAGAGGATCAGGACTAGGAACAGAGAAGTCACTACTACCTGCATATTGGTCAACAATGCGCAGCCTATTAACTATGGAAGGAGGACTATCAATTTTTAGGCCATTTTCACTTTCTGTGGCAAATGGTCCAGGAGGTGTTGCTGCCATGTTGAAGGTCATCTCGGTGTAGTCATCAATCCTACCATTGGCTGTGCTGACACACGCCGTACCAAAGGACAGCCTGGCATAATCAGCATCAGGAGGGTTTCTAGGGATGCTGGAACTTGCATAAATTGATATATCTGTCAAAGAACTAGAGAGCTCTTTAGCAGCTTTTGGTGACTGAACATCCAAGTCAACGCTCAAGTAGTCAGAAAGCGGTGACTGCCTGTGGTCACTACTGGAACCCAGAGATGATGGAGACCCCTCTGCAGATAAAGAATATGGTGTATGACTAGCCTTTTCACCAAAGTCAATATTTATATATTCACCAGGGCTAGATGGCTCAAGGGGAATTGTACGATCATACATTCTCGGTATGGTGTTACTACCCCTGGTAACGAGGGGAAGTCTTGTAGGCCTCATAGTTCTGTTCTGTGCACGGCCTTCCTCTGTAGTTTTTAGGAGAGATGATTTGGAAAGGCCATTAGCCAGAACTTCATTACTGACACTTTTCCCATTTTCAGACCCATCATACAGCAATCTTCCAGGTGAGGACATTGGAACATATTCATCATCTTCGCCATTTTCACCAGAGAGAGTCTTAAAGCTTCGTGGGAGAGAGAAATATGAGCCAAACATTTTGGAGCTGGCATTGGTGTGCATATAATTTGAATCCGCAGGTGGCTTTGGAATGGCTGAGCTTCCAGGTGACATATCCATATACTCACTGTGGGCTAACTTTTCGTTTGTAGTTTTAGAATTAAATGCAGTTAAAGGACTACGTACAGGTGAAGAGATTGCCCTGGGAAACATCATCATATATCCCTTGGAATCAGCCTGAGTTGATGGCCAACAATTGCTTATTTGTTTTGGAACAGACACATTTTTAGGAGTCATTGGCAAATAATCACTGTTACTCGCAAGAGAGGATGCAACTCCTGGCATCATTGGCATGTATCCATCGTCTCTGGTTTTACTACTGCTTTGATTACAGACAGCATCAAGGGCCGATTCCCCAAACTCGGGTTCAGGATTATTTTTCAGTTTTGGCGATTCAGAATAAGGCAGATGTCCATGGCTTCCTGTAGAATCTTCATCTAAAGAAGTTGCAGTTTGGGTTGTTTTTTGCTGCACTGGTATTGAAGCAGGCTTGGTTAAAGAGTAAGTTCTTTTTCTGAAGCATTTCTCACTCTCCCGGTAATCATCTCTAGAGCTATTATTATCCATTTGTTGCTTGCTCATAGACATGTACTCACTTAAACAATTTTCTTCTCGAATCGGCGGTGTGTTGCCCAAGGAATCTGGGGTATTACTCCTAACTCGAAAGTACCTGAAATCTCCAGGGCTGGAACCGTACTCATCTGAAGAAATAAAACCTCCATCACTTGGCGACCCACAAACAGAGGAACTGGAAGGCCGTACAAGAGTATCTGAAGCTGATCCATGGCCACTGCTCGAAGAAACGCTGACAGGGCTAGTGGCAGAAGGGAAATGAGATACTGGCAGGGAAGCAGATCTGGTGTGATAAGAAGAGCTAAATGCTGCCCTAACATACCGTCCACTCCCTTCTTGGCGCCCCAAATTCATCCTTGCCGTATTCAGATGAATCAGGCTTCCAGTAACTGACCTGAACGGTCTGGTCATTGTCCCTTCTCCTTCACTGGAAGTTCTGAACCGGTAAGAACTACTACTCTTGGTGGTGGGAGGAGTTCCCCCGGTAACACTTTCAGTTCTGGATCTTCTTTGTAAGCCGGTCTGGCTGGGTGGCAGGTTGCCAAGGTGCCTCCTGGTAGTGATGAAGGAAATGGGGTTGGTGCTACTGCCCCCACCAGAAGACTGACTCTTGCTGCGAGGTCTGAACTCAGAGAAGGCCTTCAGAGCTTTCATGGTTTCTAGAAAGGTTTCATGCATGTTCTGGGCAACCACCGAGTCATCCACTTGCATCCACAGCTCCCCTGGCCCAATGGAGGCAGACCGACCCACCTCGATGAAAAAGAAGTTTTCCGAGTGGCCGCACCGGCGAATGTTCATGAGCTGTAAATGGACAGAGGGTACCTCGGTATTCAGTTTGACCAGGTGAATGGCCTTGCTAGAGAGGCACAGCCTGTACACTCCTGTCAAATTCTTTGTCTGCCCAAGCCCTTTAGGCTTCACATTGACTTGCCAAACTTCTTTGAACACAGTTCCCGGCTTGAGGGTCGCCCCATAATGTTCGTCATCCTCATCCAACTGCTGATCCGCCTGGTCTTCTTGCTCCAGAAACCCTCTCTTGCTCTGATTCATGAGCTCACTGATCGCCTGGTACCAGCTCTCCTGCTCCACCTCGTTCTCGGCCACCATGGCAAAATACTCATCCTTCGTATACAGGGCGATGATGTGCTTGTGCTTGGCATCCGCCCTTCGGCTCACCGTGAAGCACTGGTAGAGAGGGATCACCCGCTTGGGAGGCGGGCAGCAGAGGGCCGCGTTCCCACCTGCGGCTGCCCTCAGGCTGCTCTTGAACTTCTTCTCGCTGTCGTAGTACTCCAGCCTGGCCGGGGCCAGGTGACCCTCTGCCCGCAGCACAAAGTACCGCTTGTGGCCGTGCTTCTGCTTCCTCAGGTAGCCGCATTTCCTCACGTCGTCCACCAAGGCGCCGCCGGCTGGGGGCGTCGGGGCCAAGGCCCGTCCAGAAGGGCCCGGTC